TGTGTCACAAATGACGGTCTGGAATCGATATAGAAACTGCGCGTCCTTTCAGAAAGGACTGCGCTCTCTCTTTCTCTTGTAGAATTTTTTTTTCTTCTTACCGCATACATATCTCATTCCTTATTCGTGTACGAATGCGGCACGTGCTCGAGAATAATTGTCGACATCTATATAAGTCCCCGTTTCGCGTGGTCGACGACAATAAAACAATGTAGCAATTGCATTTACTCGTGCGGGGAATTCTTATAATTGTATACATTTATTACATCATATGTAATTGCATTTTCTTTCAAATGAGTGTAAATTTAGTTCTGAAAATTGTGCGCTACATGAGAAAATGAGTCGAGTTGATTTGTATCGAGTAATTTATTAAAGTTATTTATTTTTCGAAATGTATATTGGTTTATACCGCTGTTAGCATACGAAATTAATGACAAATATTGGAACAAGTTATTTATAGACCGATGTAAAATCTTATTTGCGTTTTCATTTTATCGTGCATTGAGAATTTGCTAATTTCTTATTGTAAACATAGTATTAACCTTGATATATTAATTTGAATAATGCTATAAAATATAGAGAAAAACATACGTTATATATAAGTAGTGCACAAACAACCAATTCATTGAGTCATTGAGTAATAAATAACGAAAGAGACGTATACATAGTACTTTCAATATGAACTCAATGTGAACGCGCTAATCAACAATAACATATTTATGAATCATAATAGACACTAAATATTTTACATACATGTATAATTTCTTTTTTATCGCTGTTATATGTTATAGAAATTCAAATTTTAATTTACATTTGTACGTATAAATGTACTATTTATACTGCCAATTATTGATCAAATTTACGTACATAATAGAACTTAAAAGAAAATCCAATTAATTGTTGCAGTTATTAATTGCATGAAAACGTAAATATAATTTATATAAATTTTGTATAGTACGTTAATTTCAAATAACAAATAAATGTTTTTACGTGTGAAAACGATAGTTAGTCTTGTAAAATATGTATATTTCTAAGATTAGAGAATTAATCACTTGGTTATATCGCAAAGAAGAAACGCATTGTGTAAATGAACCTCTACTGTGCAATAATGCTGAGGACGCTATGAACGCATGAGAGGTTATTAAATGAAATGTTTCGCCGTAACACTTTCATTATGCGAGTGCACGAGAATAGAATTGTTTCGAGAGGAAGGCAATAAGACTGGAGAACGCTCGTCATCAAAATTATAAATCTATCATTATCATCGTGATACAAGCTATTCTTGCAATCGTACGTTCAAATTACATTTTTATTCGAAGAAACGAAAGCTTAACCAAACAGAAATACATATAAGCCATTGTGAATTAATTAAAAATGGCTTAACATGTACGTAAATATATCTAACCAAGTCTTTTAAACTATCAATTAATTCCTCGTTATTCAATATTTTCTTATTGTCAATTTTACGGTGCTCAATTTAGGAATTAATACGGGATAATTTTTCATGAATACGTTTAATTGCGTAATAAATCCACGTCTTTATAGTCGAATAAATTGAAGGCAACGCGTTGTTTTCCAATTTATTGGATTCAATCGTCGTTTGCGAAATAAATGGAAAGAAAATAAAAAAAAAGTTCTGATCGTCGACAACGGGTGAAAGCTTTCTCCCTACCTAGACGGTGCACGTTTACTCGAGCCTGTATGCTTCGCCATGCGAATCGGAGGTCAGCCTAGAATCAATAAAGTGCACAGTCCTGGCAGGGACTAAAACACACCACCGAATGGCAGACGTATACACGTAAGGGCTCATGCAGTGGCTTCTGTTGGCGAACGTTCACATTTTAATAGAAACAAAGGCAGTTCTTCGCTCGAGGGGAGAAAGGATGAGGTGGGCGGGAGAGGGGTACAAATCTCAGGAGGTTTCATGTGATTTACAATAGTTGCCTAACTTTTGGAAAATTAAACTGTTGCAATTTTCTCGTTGCAAAAAAAGTCGGTTTGCAGATGGAAGCAATGCGATTTTCATTGCAGATGTAATTAGTTTTCATATATACGAAAGATAGAATAACGTCTTTTAATATATTTTAGAAATTAATTTGTAATAAAGAAAAAGAGAAAGTTTTGAGAGAGAGAAAAAGAGAAAATTTTTAATAATTGGGACGTCCGGTCAGGAATATTTTGTGACCCAATTATGCGGCTTTCGACAATTAAAATTGTGATTATTCATTTTTTATTTCCGTTCGTGCTTTAAAATTATTTCACGAATAAATCATCGCCGATTAACCGATGACTAATTTAATCGGAATTTGCTGCATTATATAATTATAACAACATCAAAAATTATAATTTACAATTTAAATTTTATTAATAGTTATAATTCTGGTAAACGTAATTATAATTTATAACAAGGAAATATTGAAAAACGCTGTTGAAAGTGATTTTGGTTAAATCCAACCATGTAATTAAATTACAGCTATACGAGCGGAGAGCCTTCGAATTATACATTGTTATACAATTTTACTTTTTGTACAGATCATTAAAATTACACTATTGCAACGACAAATCTAAGCATAGTCGCAAACGTATTGACGTCGAAGATACTTTTTATCTCTCTTTAAGATCTACATATGTAACATTGTAGCGCTGGCTTGTCATCGAAGACTCAAATGAAATAGATGGGATATGTATACTGCATAGTGCATAGTCGATCACGCTGACGTAGGTATGCAAGTGAATGACGCGAGATTTTCGCGATGTTCGATCGCGCTGCGTAAAGAGCGGCTGTATGAAAGAGCGTTTTGTTATACATTTGCCACTGTGGCAATTCCTAGAGGAGTAAAAAAAAAAATAGCGGCGTAATTGCGCATTCGTGACGGGGAAGGCGCGGTTTCACGCGGACGCAAACTTCGCATTGACTTGCGTTGATCTCGTCGTTGCCGTTTCTTGCAACTTCGCAACAGCAATCGCTTATACGCGAGTACCAACAAAAAGAGGAGCAAACGGGCAGGAAGAGTATTCTGCAAGGACTCGCTAGTATTTTTATCGTTTAAATCTCTTCACGATGGAAAAACCGTATACAGTTAAGTAAGCGCCATTAAGCTGATAACGAAAGTCGCTCGGAAATTAGAATTAAATAACTGCATGGACTCTGAAACGTTTCGAAGAAAAACAGACAATATAAATATTGAATTGCGTAACGAGATCAGTGTCGCAAACGAAGGTTCGCCCGCGAATCGCTGGGATGACGCTCGGGTTTACCATTGTCACTGGCTCGTAACGCCTAATCATAAGTCCCTCTCCAACGATTTACCGGCTTCCAAGAAGAACATTTTTTTCATGCCGTGCCGTGCGACGATTACGCTCGATGGCGCACTATACTGCCATTACACCGCGAATAATCTGCGTTGCGGTGCTCCCTGGAGTGGCAATATTCGCGACACAAAGCTTCTAAATTTTACTTAAGCGATAAATGAATTTTCTACTATAGTTACTTATAATTTATTATTTGCTTATAAATGAAAAAATAAACAAAGTTGAAGCATTAAGGAATGTGGAATGCATTTAAGTTGCAAGAAGAAACACATATTTTTACTTAGCGAAATGGATTTAAATTACCAGAAGAAACATATATTTTTACTCAGCAAAATAAAGATTTTAAATGTTGTGTAATTTAAATAGATTTGCTACATTAATTTATGTCTTATGAAAAACATGAAAATGTATTTGTGAAAAATACTTTACATAATCGTTAAGAATGCAAAAATAATTATTTTCTTAGCTTATTGTATCAATTTAGCATATAAATTTATTAATTATATATAATTTATATTGATGTATAGTAATTTATGTATATTACCTTTTATAATTATTATTTTATTGGGAGATATATGTATAGTAATTGTACATTAATGAAGATAATCCTTAATATGTCTGAGCTTTCATCGATCTTTTTTAATCTCATCGTTCAACTTTCGAAAATCCTCGAATACCGTAATTACTTTCGTATGTCTCTGTAATTTTTAGCAAAAAAAGAAGAACGTAAATTGGACATTATCGATCGCGTAATCGCTATAGTCTCGGCAAAATGTCGATCGAGAATTGCGTCCACTTTCCTTCGACCACAAGCAAACATTTGTCATGTAAATTACGTAATATTTTGTCTTTTTTTCTAGCGTATACAGACACATATCTAATCTCAGTCGCAAATAGGACAAAATAATTTTGCGTATTCTTCATAAAGAGTACGTTGAAAATATCGCGATGTGATTACAATGCTGAAATAATCTGCGCGGCAAATTGGCGCGACCTTTGTCGCGTCGGAAAGTGCGTTTCACCTCGAACCCGATACATTTTATGCGATATTTAAATAGCTTGTTTTGACCGCGAGTAACACGGTTTCGTGACCTGTTAATAATAAATATCATTAGTTTTGTTATAGCAAAAACCAATAGGCAGTTTTTACGTAAAAGACAGTGTATAGTGATAAATAGAAGAATAGATAAATTTGAAAAAATTTTCCATTAGAAGCAATATATTAATATTTCAAGTACAGAGATAATATTTACATAAAATATTTAATATTAATATTTACATAAAATATTTAAATTTTATATTTTAGCAAAACCTTACATAAAAGCTGCCCAAAAATATTACAGGACTAATATAAATAATTATAATGAACAGGATATCTACTGTATATGTGTATGAGCAACATTTAACATTCATTTTATCATTTTTGTTGAAAGATATGTATACATTTTATGTATAATAATAGTCAACATTTAACCAAACTTTTTTTGCTGTTATGTTTGGAAATGTTAATATATTAAATTCAAATATATTTATGATATATACGGGGTATTAAGACAAAAATTTATTTTTGCCATTTCTAGTATCAGTAGACATCCTGACCAGCAAGAACGCGCGTGAAACGCGGTTCGCAACCGCGCGTTTAATTACTCAGGGGAGCGGACTCTATCTAATCCTGTGCTCTATTGCAGACCTAGGGAGCCCGTTCTTCCCCGGTGGTCCTGAATTGTGGCATCATCCATTGGCGTACTCTACAGCCGGCGAATTACCGGGCACGCTGCAACATGCGACGCTGGTGCACCCGGCGTTACATCCTCAGGTCCCCGTACGTTCCTATCTTTGACTATCTGCAGACAAAGCTCTGGAGCCGCCGACGAGCGCCCCGATGCACGTTAGTGATACATGATCGTTATACTCGATTACTCTTACATGGTAACAAGGAGATTCATGAGGGCTCAAGGACCGAAGATGCTTTCGATCATGGCTGCCTTGGGTCCTCGACTCCTGAATTCTCTAGATTCTTGGATATTGAATTCCTTAGTGCTTTAGTCTTTCGATCTCTTTTTGGCTGAACCTTTTGATTTTTGCATTTTTAGATCTCGCGTATAGATTTTTAGGTGTATGAATATTCAGATTCCTAGATTTCTGGAGGAAAAATATTTAATTAATATTTAGATTATTGCTTCAAAAGTTTTTATGCGAATTATTTATATTTAGGGTGCTTTATCATTATCGCATCACAAATAACCTTGAATGGTCAGTTTGAATTTGGAGTCAATTTTTCCATTTTTAATCTTTGAAACTATAATTTTTAAATTATAAAAATTGTCGAAATAAAATTAAATAAAGATTTTATAAAATACTTTACTTTTTATGTGCAAAATTTTATTTTTTAAATGTTATTTAACTTAAAATACTTAATTAATAGCCTGTAATTTGAAACCTATGTGTTTGGTGAGAAAAGGTCCGTTGCAATTGAATCAGTAAATCCGTTAAAGTTTGCAATGCGATAATGATATTCAATTTTATACAAACATTACATAAAACCAGCATTAATAGGATAATCATAATGAATAATATTATGTGGATTATTATAACATCTTTTCCGTATACGCGCCGCGTGTAACGTCAGTCAGCATATTCAAATATTATACGTTTTATATCGTCACAAAATCGATAGCGCAACTTGTCGTCGCACTGCGTGTCCACACGTATTATACAGAAACGTGTAGTCGTGTGGGTATACGTCACGCAAGCTTTGAATCGCGGAGTTTTCGAAGCTATTGCGATGTCTCCGCAGTTTGTCGCGACATGGATTAATTATGGCCGCCGTAGACCGACGTTAATAAATCCGCGGTTTACTTTTCCTCCAGTCTAGTAGCATCGTACGTACTTTCCGCCGTTTTAATTTTATGAGCTGAGAAGAGTATTTAAAACTTGTGAACATTACGTTGATGATGTCTGCATAGTTATTAATGAAGATAAATGAAGAGAGTAAGGTGCAACCCACGTAAATAACACTGATAAGCCACATGTTAGTTAATTAGCAGCATCTAATCTAAGGGTATATGGAAAGTTAAATGAAGAGATATGAGAAGATATAGAAATAAGAGTACGTACATTTTCCATATTAGTGTCATATAGCCACATGTTAGTTAATTAGCAGCATCTAATCTAAGGGTATATGGAAATTTAAATGAAGAGATATGAGAAGATATAGAAATAAGAGTACGTGCATTTTCCATATTAGTGTCTTCGTTATTCTTGGAATTCATCTCTCGTTTAAAAATTTTATATACCACGGTCTGGAATAAGATTGAAGGATCTTTCTACTATTTTAATACGATTTTTGATACCCGCACCAAAAAATTCATGTTCTATTAATAAATACTAAGAGAAAAGACTAATGCTCCAAGAGAAGTTCGAAGCTCGAAGAATCGGGGAAAATTGTTTGGCGTGAGTATACGTTCAATCCCCCTTTGAGATATTGGCGATGTCAATCCGGTGGTACCAATCCGCCAAATCGCATTTATTGATTTTTAATATCGCACAAACCTGTGCCAGGTTCACACGGGTACCTGTCACGCACTAAGCCGAGCCTCGACTTGCTCGTAAAACACTCCTCTACCGATTTCTACGAGGACAAATATCGCAACCGTGCAGCCACGTGTACAAACGTGATACAATCTGTACTTTATCGATCGCATTGCGTGTGATATTATGTGATGCTTTTTATACTGTAATAACGGCTCAATATTGTTTCATAACATGCCACAGCGAATCACGGATTAATCGAGAATGTGTGGGGAAAAAGAATTGTGATGCAATATTTTTGTGAATATATTTTGATACTCATGTTGTAAACTCATGTTAAAACTTTTAAAATTTTAGAAGAGATTGGTAGCTAGATTTTTTAATGCTATTGATTAATTCAGAAATTAATGTTGAATTTTATAGATCAATAACATTATTGGAAATTTTATTTGTCTGAGTTTTTTGAGCTATCGGATATCGGATTTATATATTTTTTGTGATATCGGTAGATATTTCTATGTATAAATAATCGAATCCTTCGACAGAGACATTTTTTTATTGGATTATGCTCTTGAGTTATCGTTTCATATAGTTAAGTTCTTATAAATCTATAAATCATTCCTATAATAATTTCTTCATCAATCTTAAAGTTTCAAATACCTATAAGATTCTATAAGTTTGTGATTCTTTCTTGTTATTTAATAGTGATACGTTACAGAAAAAAAGCTTCGTAAAAGAATATTGATTTGTAAAACATAAAAAAATTTAAAAAAATAATTAAACACAAAATATCAGATATGTGAAATTGTTTTTTTATGACAGAATATCGATTCAGTAAAAATTCAAAAGGATTACGTTGAGAAAGCTCTCGGAAATGATTGAATTGTGTAAGCCAATTTTTTACAGCCCAAACGAAAAATCTCGAATACAAAATATCCTTATTACTAAAATCTAATATTCCTCGAATTTATCCGCACGAGAGAGAAAATCCGTTGCATTGAACGTTTGATAAATCGAAGGCTGTCGAGCCCGGACTGCCGCGCTATTATTCCTTTTTCTCCGTACGCATCTTGCCTTTCCTTTAACGGAAATAAAAAGGAAGCTGAATCTCGAGATATCCACTTGAGGAATAACGAACCGAGAACCTGATAGCAATAACGTCGGAACTTATTAAGTTGAATATCTTCCGCGAGATCCAACTCGATTAAATGCGTTCTCGAGCGACTTGACGAAACCGAGAATGTCGTTGGCGAGATTTATCATCGCTTTGATAAGTTAATAACGATACTCAATGCAAATGATTCAGAATCATTCCTTTCATGTTGATGATATCTTTTAGAGACACATTTTTATGTGCAATTAGATGTGAAATCTGTTGCGTTTCTTTGCGTTATATAATCCATTTCGATAGGCTCTATAGTTACGTTTATTTCTAATTTCACAATGAAAAGTACTGTTGAAATAACTTCGCAATCAAACCAGGAGATATAAAAAAAAAGAAAAAAAATTGTAACTTTAGTCACTTTGACCTACGATTAAAAATAATAATCGACTATTTTTCATATCGGTTTGCAACATATAATTTAAGGCTATTTTTACAAAAAAGAGTTACTGCATAATGTTGACTCATTAACGCGATAACATTCCAGCAAGAAAAACATTTAGAAGACATACAGGGTGTTCTCGAAATGATAGTACACATGGGAAAAGGGTGATTCATAAAAAATAAGTTAAAAATGTAGAATAAAATAAAAAAATATTTTTTATACAAAGTTTCATTTCCAGAAAAACTTGCAATATTTATCAGGCGCGTGCAATATTACATGCATTTGTAGTTACTAATTAAAAGGATACTTATAAAATATATATAATGAGACAAAATGTATTTATTTCTTAATATTTTATTTTTTTGTCTTATTCAAAGTTGGAATACCTTGTAAATTTCAGAATTCAACTTCAGAACGCAATTTAAATTTCTCTTAGATTCTAAGTCTTCGGCCTGCTTGTTTTGATATTGTCGCAATTGGTACACGACACGATATTTCTTTGTCATTCGAATGTCATTCGAATCGGTACGTTTGCCAGATCGGGACGACCTTTAGACCTTTATTTTTTGTCAGAAAAGACATTTTTTTTTGTTGAAGGGACAAACGTAGAGCTGAGAAAGACGGGGCGGATTGACGCAAATGCGTCGATCTGTGCGAGCAGACAGACTACCCATGGCCGAGCGGAGTGTGTGTGACGGAAGTATTTATATTTTCCAGGCGCCTATGTCCCTGCCGCATCCTACGACGTTGACGTCGATACACGCGTCGCTGCCTCATTTTCTACCGTCGCCGGCACTGGCGTCACCGGTCGGATCACCCTCGTCACAGCCGAACATAGCCGTCAGCAATGCGCAATGCTCCACCCTCTTCGTGGCGAACCTGGGCCAGTTCGTGTCCGAGCATGAGCTAAAGGACATCTTCAGCAGGTCAGACATCTCATCCGTTCGCATCTTGTTTCCTTAATCCGTAGCCGCATACGCGAGCGAATTGAATATGCTCGGTTATCGGTTACGCTCGAATCGCTTATCGATTTATTATATTTATATATTCTACATGACCTACACATGTGTGCGTCTGTGATTATCAAGATCCTAAAGACAGCTTTTAGAATGCACCAAGGTGCGTTATCGTCGTATGGCAAAAAGGTGTAGGCGTCGCGAGATAAATTTGCAGAAATAATTTATCAATCAAGTTGAAGTGTTTCTAACTTTGGAATAATTTTTCCGCTTCTCTGAATTTCAATAAAAGATTTCAATTAAATGGATAGTGATGAAATATGCATATTATTATTACGTACTTATATCGACATTTTTTAGCGGGATCTCAATTTAATGCAATATTTGTGCGTAAAATATTATTTAAAAGCCGCCTTATATAATAAATACGTAGATAATTAATTTTATTTTAACGCAAAATGTCAGACGATACGAATATTAATCATAATAATAGCAATGATAATAGATTGCTGGAAAGAACCAAGTCACATTAATATGATATGCACATGCAGGCGGCAAATGCGCGCCAATTGCGATACGGGTACCGATACACGTGGGTCTTATCAGTATACCACGTGGTGGCGATATCACGATGTCGTGATGTATTCGAAACATTTGCAATTCTCGACGAACAAACAGCAAGAATACGGCGGCTCCAAGAACATTTCTACAAATCTTAGAATCATTGACCTTTTTTCTCGATTTCTTAATAAAAAAAATTTTCGATGTGTGGCGGAGATCTTTAATGGGAAGATTAAAAGATCTCTCGATTTTTGGATCTTTAACTTTAAACATCAATTTTTAATTTATGGAATCTGCAATAAATCTAATAATTTGATCTATCAGTATTTTTGTTTAAGAAAAAAATCCTGTAATTATATTAATTTTCAAATTAACATCAAACTTACGTGAATAAATTCCAGATGAATCAAAGATCGGAAGTTCTGCGTTTCAAAGAAGCAACTTGTTATGCTCTTGATTTACGTCATTACAGTTATATAACTTTTGCAAGGATACATACGTCCAAGGATTTCTTACGTTGGACAAAAAACACTATTAAAAAGTAGAAATCGCGAGCATATGTCAATAGCGCGTAATATATGCAATCTTTATCGTTCTTTACGCTTGCAAAATTTGCGAAATACTTACAATGTACTTACTTAATTATCATATTATCGTACTTTACGCCGTTTCGATTGGCATATATCACGGGGCGGGGACCTTCGCAGGTCACAGAGAACATAAAACGCAAAATTGTAATTAAACATGGTGACCCGCTAATTGCGGAGAGAGAGATACTCGCAATTAGACTGCTCAAGTGTCAGCTATCCAACACAAGCGGTGAAGTTAAAATATGTTATCCAGCCGGGCATTACAGTTGCGCTCGCGTAATAAATTATTTTCACGTGCCCCGCCATGCGGAACCTTCCCACGATCCTGAGTACCGCCTGCGGTACGTCGTGAATCATTGAATCGAGAATTACGGACTCTTTCGATATGTCTACGTTAAATCGGTTAGACCGCGGCTAATATCCGCCGGTGTACGGTTCTACGTAGGAATGTGAAAAACTGAAGATCCGGTAGAGAGTCGTTCAGTTACCTTTGATTAATGCTGCGAACCTCGATCACGTATTTGCAATCGCGGGATCTTAATAATTATCAATTAGAAGAGAAAGTTACGCGAATTAATTTTTGTATGCTGCACTGCGAATATGAAACTGCTAGAATACTTGGGTACTCTTTGTTTAATAGAATATTGGGAGCAATTGCTTTGGTACTTTTAATATCGATTACTATGGTTACATTAGAAAAAATAAGCAGAAAGAGAGAATTTAATAATTGGACTGAAAGAAGTTGTGAATTAATAAAATATGACGTATCTTCTATTTTTTGAGCCGTTCACGATTCGCAAACTCAGAAATTCAAGGATCTAAATATTAATAGTGTAAAAATCTTTTTACTTGCTTTCTAAAAATGCATATATAATTATAAAAAACTAAAAAGTATAATATCTAATTGAGTTAAATATATATAATAGAGTTAAGTATATATACGTATATATAAAATTTACTTAAGAAATTAATTTAAGCATACATAATTATTAAATCGAGAGAAGAATAAAAATTTAAATAAATAAAATAATATCTTTTTCGATAATTATTTATTAAAAAGAGCTTAAATAGAAACTAAAATATATTTTAATCAGTGTTAAGTAATTTAATAGTAAGAAAAAAGTAACAAAAGTAAGTTGACAATCATTAAATGATATATATAGCACATTATATTATATCTGTTAGTTTATATTGCGGTACATTTCTTGTAAAGGAAAACAGATCGTATAAAATGATTGATTTATGAAATTTTTTATGATCACTTATGAGACACTAACGTGGTTTGCAGTAAATTTTTTTTTTACTTTTCCTGTATGTTTAAATTCGTATTTTGTATTCAGCACTATTTATAATATATTCTTAAATTACACTTACCTTTTAAACATTAGTTGTAAAGCCTGTAAGTAGTTAATTGATACTCGAGACGGACAAAATTCTCTCACAAGATATTAAGTATCGCTAAGAACAATTTCCTTGGCACACAATGTACGAATAGCGGTCCAGAAGACGCGATCTACTCTTTCGAGTTTCGCCGCTGACGGAAGTCTACGCGCGACTGTCTCGCAAGTTCTGTCGCCAATACAGAAGCTCTTCCTCCCCTCGTATAATTAGCCCGCGAAATCTCATTATCCCGCAAACCCCAGAGTTCTGCAGTATGAATTCGTAAGTGAGTGCCTGAGTTAATTACACGCGTTTGCACGTGCGAGAGGCGCGCTGCGCATTCTGCAATTTTCGGTAGCTCGCGGGAGTATTCGACGGAATTTCGTCGCCAACGACGTGAATACGTTGCGCTTGTCGTATGTAATTCAACCGTTGTTCTTGCATGGGTAATTATTTCGCGTTAATACGCTTGAGAAAAAGTACATTTGTCGAGACAAAAAAGAAATGAATTTTACAATCTTGCAAAAGTATTTTTGATCATGGAACGTGCACAGGATTATCTAAAAATAGAACTAAATGCCTTGCAGATAATGATATTATGAAAATTATATATTAATATTAATTAATTAAAAGAAAAATTTGTGAAAAGTGATTTTGTAAAATACGACTTTATTATAATTGTATATCTAGATTTTTTATTATTTTTTAATTTGATCGAAAAAATACATTTATAAAGAATACAGATTGTTTAGAATCTTGATAAGCAATTTCGAAAATTGAATATACAGCTTACAAACTGGAAATCGACTTTTTTATATTGAAGTTTTCTTTTTTTTATCTAAGAATTAATTTCTCTTTTTTTTATCGATTTTTGAGCATGTTTCAGAATTCCCAATTTTAATTAATGGATGTAAATAGTGCAATATTCAATTACTAATTTTTAATCTTAAAAACATTTTTTAGAAAGTAAATTTTTTTTCCAAATTTTTTCTTAAAAAAGGTTTTAAATTAATTAAAATATATTATAGATATCAAATAGGAGATATTTATTACAAACCAAATCAAGAATTATACAAATTTCCGCATCCATGAATTTGTGAGTTATATATGTGTTCTCAGATTTAGTATCAGTCTGCTTGTGAATCTTTAAATTTATTACAGTTTATATTTATTCTTGTTGTGGATTTGAAACTAATTAAATTAGCGAGCTAAACCAATGACTATAGTAATCGAAGGGTAGCAAGCAAAATCGATGAAGCATCAAGTATCTGCACCTAAATTTAATCGTCGTGCCGAGGGCGCGATAATAGTCGAAATTGTGCAAGTCCGTTGTGAAACGCCGAAAGCTTTGTACTAACAGCACCGCCTCCAAACATCACTGACATCCGCTAATCATTTGCCACCGTCGTAGATTGTAGGCATATAGGACGCACCTGTACTAGTACCCGTACCAATACCATGCGACCAGTGCCGTTTACTAATTGTCGGTGTGCTGAACGGGTTTGCACGGAGGGTAATGTCCCTGTATCGCGAACTATCGACTAATCGTGGATTTGTGAATGCACTGTGAACCTGATATGAAAGGATTACGATGGAATGGAATAATTTAGTATAAAACAACAGAAACGGAGATATAAAAATCTACTAACAAATTATTTATTGCAAAATAAACAACATAGCAATGAGAGATAATGGTGAAAATCTATATGATAGATATATCTCATTTTTTGAACATATTTGATTAATTATTTGAGATATTTTATATATCTAAGAAAGATTTTGCAACATAATGATTAGTATAGATAATTTTATTATTTAATTTTGATAATTTGCTTTTTTTACATACATTTATACGTATATATTGCATATACGTACGTAATTATCTCTGTGTACGTTAAATTCCTCCAAAATAATTTGCACATGTACATGCCAAAGGAAATAATTCACAGCTATTAATGATTTAAATTCGATCCTGAGTTTGTGTCGCATCCCCTCCGTGTAATCACCCCATGTCGGCACCGCCTGACACCACCGACACCATTAATGGCAACCAAGCAGTAACCAAAACCCCCGCCAAAACCCCCTCTAAACTTCCCCCTTTACCAGAGTACTGTCTTTACGACTAACTAGAGCACGTATTGTACGCTTCTCTTATTTGTGCACAGTTTTCCTGGTTTCTCCCGGCTTCGTATGCACACGAAGGGAGGGTCGCCAGTGGCCTTTGTCGAATACCAAGACGTTCGCTACGCGGCCCAGGCGATGGCCACTCTCCAAGGATCCTTTCTCCTCTCCTCCGACCGGGGAGCGATACGAATCGAATATGCAAAGTCAAAAATGGCCGAGGTGGGCTTTACAAATCTCTGGATCGAAGTAGGTTTCACTTTATGCTACGATAGACCGCTGCAAAGGACGCGGAAGGGAAGGGGGGCGGCTCTATGTGAAATAGGCGAGGTTTCGTACGAGGTATTTCGCGAGCTCGAAACACCTCGATGTTTTGCTCCCGCGGTATTCATGGGACGAAGACGATGGTTTCGGAGAAAGATCTTAGTACGCGCGAGGATTTTAGCGAGGGCGTTTCTCGCGCACTTTGCACATGCCGAGAGAAAGATAGAGAGAGAGAGAGAGAGAAAGAGAGAGCCTCAATGAGAAGCATTTGTTGCGGTCAAGCGTATGGAGCTTGCGTATCTTCGAACACCCGGGAGCCTCGCTTATGCGCTCAGGTCCTTAGCACGAGTGTTTACTGTGGTCTAGCACGAGACTTTTGCACATACACGAGGCTCTGGGTGGTCCGCCCTACAGTAGAGCCGCCTCCGCGAAAATGCGATTAACAGCGAATACGTAGGGCTGTGCTTTCGCCGATGTATGTCATCTTATTTTTATTCGATGCTAATACTTATTGTTATTATACATTTTGAAATTTAAAATATTGGAGAAAGATACGTTATAATGTTTAATTTAAATACATAGAAAATATAATCATTATCATGATATTTTATTTAGTGAATATTTGATGAGAAGTAAAAATAATATGAAATAAAGTTTTAACATTTTCACAATATTTTTTAAAAAGGAGATTGCGATTTAGGGTTTTCATAATTTGTATAATAAAATTGGAATTTTGTAAAGAAAGTATTGATTTAATTTGAAAGCATATTACGAATAAAATATGATTTAAAATCATAAATGTCAAATTTAAATAATAAATCCTGTTTTAATAAAAATAAAATTTACTTTAGAGCAACGTTTTTTTGGAACTCTGAGCACAGCTGTACGTTTTCGTCTAGAGACTGAAATCGATATAATCTCGATAAATTTACGTATATTGATGCTATAGATATAAGAAAGTGAATCTATAATATTTAGAATCGCGAAAATGGCATATTTTTCTGTATCCGTAGCATCGAAGACGTTACCAAAATAATATCGGATTTCGGATTTTTATTTTTGTCGCCGCTACCGAAATGCATTGGGCCCAGTGGATCCTGGATCCAATTATTCGATCATTATTTGATCTAATTCACGCGGTTTCGCCCTCGAAAGCATTTGCGCCTCGAGGCATCAGACAGGCCGTCACTTTGAAGGCCAATTAAATCTGGTCGAAAGACCGACGACGGCTGTCCCGTCGAGGACTCGTATTCAAACAATAGACGCACTCTCGTGCGCTGGTGCCAATTACCAATTATCTATCGTTAATCGCCTACCGATCACGTGAAAGCCGGCGAATCTGCCCGTCTTTCTTTCCTTCTTTTTTTCTTTCTCTCTTCACCTCTCTGTCGCTCGATTGAGATAAATATACATGCCCGTTTCTGCGATCGGAACGTATATAATTTTTTATCTATTTTGAATTACTTTTTTATGATTTTCTCTTTTTCGAATTTTTGCACGATTCCAAACAGAGACCAAATTATAATTTCGAAGAGTTCAGGTCTCGATGTCAGAGACAAGCAAAAGTGATCTCGATATCTATTCCTGGCCGATGGAAATGCGATGCTTGATGGCAAGGTAAATTTTATTCGTTGCATTGAAAATTGAACTCATCCAAATTATATGGTTTCAATCCTAGATTTCAAATTTCTCTCTTTTTCCTATTGTACTACCTTCGTACTCCTTCTTTATTGATGCCTGTTTGTCGATTTGCTCGTTCTTACGGTGTACCTAAGTTTCCTTCATACGAAATCCTTTTCCTTACCTGTATGTTTATTTTCGCTGTATCAAATCTGTCCTTGTTTTACTGTATCATATAGATATGACAAGCACCATGCACCATCCTGTAGCTACGTTATACTAATCGGCTGTAGTAACGCTTGGGGAAACATTGGCTGTATAAAGTATTAGAATTAATTTTATTGATTAAAATTTCGGAAATGCAATCGTTTTCTATTCTAATATCATCACGAGGAATATATATTTTTTCAAATATTTTTACCAACTAATTTGATATGTATAAGAAGCAAAGTGGGTTTGATATGTTAAAGTTTATTTTATTTTTCGATTTAACTTTGATCCGTCTAAATAAAATAAATTGGAATTATTATAATGAAAAACCATGTATAAGATAAAAAAGAGGAAAGTCAGACAAAACGATGATTCTGAGGTTCCGCTTTTAATCAAGACCGTATTTCCGCCGATGAAGGAAGATTCGTCGGACATTTAAGGATCGATCTCACTTACGTAATTTAAGGGCTGAACTAAGTTCAGCTTCACAGGTTATCCAACCGCTAAAAGGATTGAACTAATTAATTAGCTAAGTAATTAAGCTGCGTTAAATGAAGCTGGCGGAGTTGTTCGTTTGGTTGAAATATGGTAGTAATATTTCGGCAAAGCTCATAACAGGCGTAACATTATTCGCGCGTGATATAATCGATATGCATAATGGACACGTCAAGAAGAAATTTGCATCATTTTTCAGTTAAACAGAGAATAACAATCGTGCACAGAAAGATATAATAATCTAAGCAAGAATGCAAGTTCTTTTAAATCCCAAAATATACGTAACTAACAGGATCCCGCGTTATTTGAAAACAAATAGCTTGAATAAAATAACTATTTTCATGATTTGCTATTCTTTTTCCTTAACAAACAACGTTTTTCAGTTTTATGTCATAAAGAAAATGAATTAATCATGCCTACGGAACGTTGGAACAACTGATTTTAAAAGATTTACGAAGGAATACGGGTTTGAAGGTACTGCATTTTTTAAATATGCAGAAGATTGAGAGATGAAGGACTCGGCAATATCCATTCGAAACGTTCGAAAATGGATTCGGCGTCGGGGCCAAAAGTGTGTCACCAAAAATTGATCGGACGCTATAAAAGAGCGCTTCGGATCGCTCGACCTTATCCTTTGAAATCGATGAATCGATACCGTTCGCTTGCAGTTACAATTGTGTCGCAACTTGTTTATTCATACGCGACGCCGAAAAGTTGCTATTGGTCACGCTATAAACGAAGCTGCGGCTACGGATCGACCTCCCCATTTTCGAATTAAACGATCGATACGGTCCGCTTGGGGCTGGGCACGGCCGAACACGTCATCGTTAATTCACGTCGTTTTATAGAGACGTCTGGCACCGCAACGTTCACCTCGTGGGATACTCGATGAATTAAAACTCTTGCCCTTTTCCGAGCGAGCGCATTCAATCCTATGAATATTTCCTCTTCCTCTGTCCTCACTGCACGCGTATATCAGAAAACCTTTCGCATTTACGCTTTTAATAGATGAAGGAGAACTTTTTTATAGGATTGTTGAAGAACAGCAGAGAGACTCGAGAGACTTGAGTTGTTGAATAGTCGAGTTTTTAATTTTCTGCCGCCGGGAGGAAAGTTCTTGGGTTTTTATGTTTTCGAAATTTGTTCGCATTGATTTGTTCCACAGAATTACCAAGATCTTTTCAGTTCTTGATTTTTTTAATTCTTTTTAACTTCTTTTTATATAAACACTAAAAAAATTTTCAATTTCTCTAGCTATTTATTTCTTAATTATTACTTTAATAAATTGTATTTATTAATGTAAATTTACTTATATCAATATATTATGTTTTTTATTTTTCTTTTGTATATATAATGTATTGTAAATTTATATTATAAAATTTTCTGCGTATAACTAAATATATTATTTTTCAAAATTACTTAATTGATATTATAAATTTTTTTTATATTTGAAAATCATTACAGTACTAATATGTCGTGAAGAAATATTGTCATAAGATTTACGTTGTTTTATTTTCATATTTTTCATTGGCCCGATTTGAATCTACCCTTTTGGTATGTAAATACATTTTATTCATAAAATCTCTGTTCCCGCGAGATTTCTTTTCCAAGATACAAAATTCAATCTATCTGCCTATATCCCTACATCTTTTGCTTCCCTTATTATATCCTCCTTTTCTTGGGCCGTATGTATGCCTCTTCGTCAACCGAGAGCTTTGAACAAACCGTGAAAGAGCGCTTTTCAGCACAGTCACGTCCTAATGAGGTACGCAAATTACTCAATGGCAATGCCGTCTCTTCAGCTTCGCGCGGACACTCTTTATGTGGTAACAAATGTAGGTTGTCCTTTCATCCTCGTTTGTACACTCTGCCTCGACCGAGTCTTTCTTCAAACTGTCACGACGTATGACTTATTGAGAACCGGTATTAAAAAATTCGTTATGAATGACCGTTGACTTTTGGATCTTGAATCCTCGCGTCTTTCGACGATCAAAACACGATTTCGGAAATTCTTCGGAGCTTGAATTTTCTATATCTTTGAATATGTTTGAGTAATAATATCAATATAATTATGTATAGCTTAAAGATGATGCAATTTTCTTTCTTGTGTGTATATAATATTATTAAGAATGTCTATTAAATATAGTGGCGTAGTAGCGAAAAAATTAAAGGATATTATGTTTCAAAAAGAAATAATTAATTGATGATTTAATTATGAAAACGTCGTCTCGTTGCAATTAGTATCTCTTGCGTTTTGCACGTATCGCGCCACGTATCATGAATCGTCCTAATCGCTTGCATCGATTTTTCAGGGATCAAAGAGACAAGAAAACGGCCAACCTTAAAATCGACATCAACGGCATGTAAAAAGGCAGAATATCGGGCGGCCCGAGGAGACGACAGGACGCGCTCTCGTAAGACAGGCTATGCACCGGAAGATAAGACACGAAGAACCGTACAAGAAGTCGCACACACCACCGTCGAGCAGTCGAGGATTCGTCGGCGAGAGACCGCGGGGTAGCGGAACGTAGGACGCGGGAGCAGTAAACACACACATACATACACATACGAGAAAGAAGGAAGGATGAGAAGACGCAAAAATTGCGAGCGCGTGAGTGGAAGGGCAAGATTTCGGTCGCCCTTCCGCCCGGAAAAGGGACACACAGCGAACACACATCGGTAGGCAAGTTCTTGTAAATTCTTCGAGCGTTGCGGAGCGGAGGCGTGTTGTTCGCGCGACTCTAGCGGGGGGCCCAATATAATCACATAATAATTCCTAGGTATATATATTTTTTAACGAACTTAACTTATCGCGATTCGCGTACCTATCTTTACCTATTATTTATTTTCACCGTGTCTTTGATCGCGATCGACGATGACGAAGCGAGAGACAGGGGCGGCGGAGGGGAAGGGGAGGGATAGAGCTGAAGTAGATGGAGCAGCAGAAGAACGAAGAAGAAAACGAGGAAGCGGATTTTATTTCTTGTATGTGTATACATATGTAAAGAAGAATGGCACTCTTCGCAGTCACACGCGCACGTTATATCGCGATATTTGGTTACACGACATACATATACACGTACACAAATTACACACACAAAACAAATACATTTATACGCGACAGTCGCGAAGATATTTTTCAGGCATACTAAGCCACCCTGGGATACATTCGCGATACATATCATGAAAATTGCAATCATCGGTAATCTATTGGGTGTTTCGGAAAAAAACTTCTAAAAGATTTAAATATTAACTAAGTCATGACATCGAGCTCGAATTTTTCAAATTGTCCGTATCGTTGGAAAAATGAAGTCGCAAGTGTCGAGTCTCACAAAAAGTAAGTTCATTAAAGCGCATTAAAGCGCATTGGTACATACGCACGATGCGAATCCTGGTGGTGGCTCTAACGCGAAATTGCGTATTCCACAATCCACACACTGAAACGAAACAAACGAGGCGAAGATGAGTACATCAAGCTTAATACCAAAGGTGCCCTAAGAAGCGTGTATTTATGTTTTATCATCGGCGCGTCGCGCGAAGCACGAGCGCGCGTACATTTAACTATTGTATCTTGTTAAGAAGAATCTAGTGTCCTAGGCGAGAGTGAAGAGAATGAGAGGGACTGAGAAAGAAAGAATGTGTATATGTGTGTGTGTGTGTGTTTTGTGCAGAAAAAAGAAGAAGGAAGAAGTTCGAGCGAGAATGTAACTGTGAATGCGAGAGAACGTGCACGGAAAGAGAGACAGAACGACCAGATCGAGAGAATGATAAGAGGATGATTGTAAGTAATAATCTTATACATATATATACATAACGAACGCGAACATATCATAGGGTTAAGCCTGTAGTTGAGGATTAAAGTGCGGCGAGAGGAGAATCTGAACGACCGTCCGCCTCTCCGTAAGGCAAAAAGATTGCGCGAGAGCGGACGGAAGAAAAGAGGGTAGTAGTGAAGGTGATGTGCCCCGCGTGTTAGAAACGGCGGCCAACTCGGCACGTAATTTGCCCAAGTGCCTTTCTGTTGGTCGAGTCACAAGCTGTAATCGGTAGCGTGTTACACACATAGATCTTGTCCCGATTTTTCGAAACTCCCCCAAAAAAAAGAGACTCCCGGCGCTTCTCTAAACCGTGCAACCCGAAATACGTCCCATTCGCCTCTCTTTCGTCCTGTTTCGCATTCTCCTTTCCCTCCCGCCTTCCCCTCTTACTTTCTCGGTCGCGGAAAGCTGCGATGAGAGTGCATTAACGATCACGTAATGATTCGAGGATCAAAGGCGAGTTTTCGGCGGGATTTCGAGTGGAACTCGTTTTCCGAAATGGTTCAACAAATTCATGAAAATCTATAAAATAGCTCTTGGCAATTTCTCTTTGACATTATTGATGCTTTTCTTCGATTCTGTTTGCACGGAATACTTTCATAAATCTTGCGTTCACGTAAACGTACGTATACATATTTAAAAAGAAAGTTATAATGACATTTATATATAATTCTGTATTTGCAGAATTTTTTTAATAAGTTTGTTTTTAATAAGATTGCATGACGAATGTATTTGCATAAATTATAACAGAGATTACAAATAGATCTTAACGAATAGTGTTACAAAGATTGTTAGAGCAGCTTTCAGTAATCTTACGCAGCTTCCGCCGATGTATCCTCGAGTTTCACGACCAACCTTCGTATCCCCCGTTGTATCACTGGGCATTTATTACAAGTATCCGCAATTAACGAAAGTGGACGTTACTTAAGAGAGTAAAAAAGAAAAGCCGCCGATTAAACAGTGGATTATGTCGGTAATGGCGATCATCCACCGGCGCGCTCGGACGAGTTCCGATCGATCATCCATCATAGATCGTCCATCATCGTCGTCATCGATCGTCAAGTCATTGATCGCGCCAGTATGTTCTTTATTTTTCTACGGAAAGCGACTGGAGAGCAACTACGTTAGAAATATCACTCCGCGATATTGGGACTTGACGAGCACACGATACACACCCGAGTACACGCGTGGGAATGAGAGGAAGAGTCAATGGAAAGTATGAGGTTAACTATATATTGTTAGGCGAAATTTTTCGAATTTCCACTTTAACCCTTTGCACTCTCTCACGCTCGAGTCCTACTTTACATATCAACGTAGATTATCGAATGGATAAAAAAAAAATTGATATTTTGTAATGCTACAAATTTTGGATTTAACGCTAACTGAGAAATCACTGCGATAAAATGTAATTTACGAAACTTTAGGAAGTATAATCTAAGTTGTAATCGAAACGAGGCCTTAACAATTCGAGGAACAGTGCAGAAGTGGACTGAGATTTAGATCCTCCGTACAAGAGTATCCATCTCAGATATTCAAAAACAAATAATTGCGTCAACGTGTAATTGAATAATGAAAAAAAAAGAACTTGATTAGCGTATTATTGCGGATGGAATAGCTTTCATGCGCTTGGAACCAGACTTACACACGGTTGGCCTTCTTCTTTAAAAAAAAAAAAAATGTAACACTCTGAGTGCGTATCTTTTGCAATTAAGAGAAATAGTATAAATTACGTCTGAGCGCAAAGGGTTAATGGAATACGACAGCATCAAAGACACAAGAATCCATAGGAATTTCAAACCTGTCGGCTATGGTTCACGAGTCTAGCAAAAGTGTCTAGCAAAAAAGAGTAGAGAGATAAGAGAAATGTAGTGAGGAGAGGGCAAATGAGAAGTTCAGCAGACAGAAGTTTGGATAGCGCGGCCGTGATTGCTCGAGTATCGCGATCGCGAGGGATGATCGTCGATCTTGGAAAGATGCGAGGATGCGGCGCGGCAAAACGCATTATTCGGTGTATTCAATAGCTCGTTATTTTGTAATTAGCCGTTAAGAGGCGGATTCGTCGTTATTCACGGTCGGAATCGACGAATCGTTAGATTGAATTTTAAAGTGCTTTACAAGTGAACTAACACATATCAGTAGGCAGTACGCTATTATTATATTAACATAGTGTGGTATTCGCGTAAGGATATATTAGAGGTTAACATAAAATATGAAGAAGTATATATATACATATATCTACAGATAGATATATATATATGAAGAAAAAAAAAGTATATATTAAACAGCGCGACTTTTAAAGTTACAGGGGGCGAGAAGTACATGTCAATCAGATATTTTGTACCGTCTCTAGAAAATTACTCTAGCGAGTCCGTTTTATTTCTTTTTTATATACGTATATATATATATATATATATATATATATATATATGTATATATGTGTATATGTACACACACACACACACACGTGTATAGACGTACATACCAGCATCGTGGAATCATACGCAACACACTGTGAAACGAATCATGCGAAGCGCGAGCGTGACCGGGACTCTATAGCGCTCTTTTACTTTGGAAAAAAAATATCGTTTATTGAGCGGACAACTCGAGAGGAAGTCGTACATTCAATGAATAAAATGTAAGTGAAAAAAAATCTTTTTTTTTATTTATTAATCAATGAAGATATAGGGGATTGAAGATAAATTTATACAAATACAGTTGAATCTCTATTCGTTTCTCTATACGTATCTCTCTATACGTTTACTGTAAGAATTAACAATTATGTATAAAAGATGTCAATGTGAGACATTTAAAGTAGAAATATCTAATTTCGAAAATGAAGAAATAAGTAGCAATTTGCGGTTTTATTAAACCGATTGTACGATTTTTCCTTCGAGAACACACGCTCTTGCTCTAACAGTATCGTTCATTCGCATGATTAATCCACTGTACACTTCGGCAAATTACAACTCGAATGGTTTGCATACTGGGATTAATATCTTATAAAATTTGATCTACAATAAGAACTTCGCGTCCGCGTGAAGCTTACTGAAAGGGGGGGAGAAGGGGGGAAGAAAGCGAGATCGAGGAACGCGAGATCACCAAAGATGGCAATGTATCGATCCAAAGACTACCAATAGACCTCACAAAGACTATATCACGCTGTGAAAAAAAAAAACTGTTGATATGCACCACCTGATGCTAGATCGCACCAACCTACAATCTACCGTAATGATAGCGCGAAGAAGAATCGAGGCAAGCGTGCAAATCGCGTGGGAATATAATTTTCCTTTGCTTTTTTGAGTTTCTCTCCGGATTCCGTCTTCGTAGGAAGATCCTGTGGCAGGATTGATCCTCGAGATTCTAAAACTTTTGCACCATTATAAAATTATACGAAAACCATAATCGAAAGGCATTCTGATTTGGAGTTTTACATCTTTATTAATTTTCAAGACGAATATCACATATAATCTAATGAATATTTTTCTCAATAAATAACGGACAAAAAGAGAAAAGATTGGCACTGCGGTAGTCAGAGATCGCCCGTAAAAACGTACGGTCGACTGCGTCGAATTGTCATTAGGCTTTTTGATGATTTTAATAGAAAATCAGGCAAGGAATAATATAATTTGCATTATATATATTTTTTGCTTAGAACTGATTATGGAAACCGCGTCCCAAATTTAACCGGCGCCGAAAGGGCCACGTACCTTATCATAATATAAATATGAGCATTATAGGGCAACCAGGATTACTAGTGCTCCTTCGAGCCTGACCACACTTCGAAAGTAATGACCATAGTAGTATTGTCGAGACACCAAAAACAAAAAATGAAAGTAAAAGTGAGGGGGCACGATGAGGGATGCACAGACAAAATACATATCAATTTTCTAAAGTGCGCGAAACGCGAAGCGGATTTGCCACGGTGAATAATATATCGGGTAACTGGCAGAGCTTCGCACTGATACCAGTGATAAGTGTCGAGGAGGAGAGTTTATACATTCCGGACGAAAATGATCTACGGGGAGGAGGGGATGAATAAGGAGGAGAAGGCGGAGGAAAGTACGATAGTCTAAAAAAAAAAAAACCAGCTTTTCTATTATTTAAATACAATTTTGTTAATTGACTTAAGCTACCGCGAGAGCTCTCGTTCTGGCGGTGAATTATAATACGTCACGATGTTTTTCGGAGTTTTATAAGATTACGAGTAGATAGTTAAGTAACTGTAGACTGTTCTATCGTAGCTGTTAATCATAGTATCACACGCGCTTTCTGTGGTATTTAGTTGATTCTGTCATTGATGTTACATCCGTCTGACGCGCGACGTAAGTAAAGACGAAGCTAGACGAATATATATATATATATACATATATGTATATGTACCGTGGTACTTCGATATCTTAGAACACAACTGCGATCAGACATCTGCATGTATACTTTTTTCTTCATTTCAAAGAACTCGATTTGTTGCAATTTTGCTCATTAGAAAATATTACGGGATATTGTTTACATGGAAATCATTAGTTATCATGAAATTTTTACTGGTAATGTTTTACTGTAATGGATTTACATTGAAAATATCTTGAAAATAGAAGTATAGTTCGCGGTAAAAAAAAAATGATGTCTGTTCGAAGCCATCGAAGATCGAAGTAGTCCGTGGTATTTTGTCTAAAAGTAATTGAAATAATTAAGCGATTCGGCGACGCACGTACGTGTGGAATCGAGAATGTAGTCAATTTGTATATTGCAACTGTCGCAGCCTGATGGCGAGTTTGATTCGTTATTTAGCAAAAATATAGGAGGCTTGAGAGAGTTCTTATTGAATCCGATCGTGTGCTCGGGGTAATCCACGTATATTATATTTATACGATTACGTCGCGTAATGTCGAGTAATCGATTGACGTGGGTATCCTTCGCTCGGGCACATCGGTATCGCTTATCTCGACACCATTTCTGAACGACGCGTTGGAATGGCTGTAAAAAAAAAAAAATTTTAACGATTGGAATTCTAAAATTGATAAAATTTTAATATTTGGAGTTAAATACTAGTATGGTATGGTATAAATTAGACATGCTTTTTAAAATTGCGTAAAGAAAATTGTGAGAGATTGAAAGTTAAGTATTTAACAAAAATTCAACGTGAATGAAGTCAAACAAGTAATATAATCTTAAGTAATTAATTTTTTAATAGGGCATTCATTGATTTTTTTTTATATTATGATTGTTATCGCGTTTAATTTATGAGACTGTTAAAGGGGAATCGATATTATTATTATTATTATTATTATTATGTCGCTTTGTAATTTTTAAGCCTTTGGCGTAAATTTGAATGATTTTTTCTAAAGGTTCTCGAATTTTCCCGAACATGTTGAAGAATAATCTCGCACGAACGTTCGGCATCCTCGCGTTGATCCTCTAAATTCGAAAATCCGCGTAGTATTTCGATGCATTCCCTCGAGACGAATATTCTTTGAGGTGTAAGTACCTGAGACTATTCGACTATTTATTATTATTTACGCGACTCATGCAAGTATTTCAAGTAATCCCAAAGAATTAAAAATGCTACTTTGCGCCTTCATACGAAAGTATTCTCGCGAATCCCACGATTATCGTAATTATCGTCCAAGAGTGTCGGGAATCGGCGACCAGTTGGCTCATACTATTATTGCCAATTGCAAATCTTTCTCTTCTCGTGCATCCCGCCACACGAATATTAGCGATTATTGCATGAGACCAGGATCTATATACATATATATCGTTGTAATATTCATCAGTATGAATTAAATTGAGTTTTAAATCCGATAAGCTAATTATCAATTAAAGAAGGATATTATTTATTATACAAACTTTAATATTTAAACATCGATCCTCAGAAAGAGACTTTACGTCAGTCATTTTATATCATGGAATATATTTTGATGTATATTGCCATAGGAAAATTGCTGAATTCATTAGTGCAATTAATAACACACGTATCCGACACGTACTTTCTATTAGCACTGATATTCTGACATAGAAATTAAAAGGCAATGATTGAATGATTGTCACAGTGAACTATAACTATTAATTATTTAACTCCGTATCGTCTATATATTATTATTATTATTATTATTATTATTAGCCAAATGATATCAACATTTATGATATCAATATTTATGTTTGAAATTCTTCTTTAAAAATAAACTCACAACTAAATTAATATTTATATTATTCGCAAATATATTTTGTAGCATGTTACAGTATATAATACATGATACATTATTAATATATTATATTATTTATTTTCTTATTTATCTAAGGGGATTCGATTTTCGTGGGTTTTATTCACTATGACGTAATCCTATTCAATCATCGATGACAGCCTTTATACCCGTCCAAGCCACGATCGTAAGATCGATTCACAACGACGACTACGTATTGAGATCACAAATTCGAGGGGGTTGGGAGGGAGGGGGGGGGGGCAGGTTGTGCACATGTAGCAGTGAGTGAGTAAGGAGGGCGCCTAGAAAAGAGAACTTTTCAGTGTTCGGATATCGAAGTATGTACTTATCTAGAGGATCGTTCGAGATGAGAAGAGTCGGGACTTATAGTTGCTTAATTAATTATTTGCGCGTCTGTGAATGTGTACGTGCGTGAATGCATGCGTGCATGGTACGTGTGCGTCTGGATTGGGTACGCATGGGGCGAACCCGTTCACGAGTTGGAAAGTATTTGTAGACGGTGATATGGACGGATGTCTACACGACGAACTGTGGTAGTTTGTACCAAACGTTCACAATTGCCGGTCGTGAAACCGGATATCTCCTTGACAAAACGATTAGATGAACGATAATGAAGTGTATAATGGGAAGGGTCGTTCACTTTTACCCTGATCTTGGGGGAATAATGTGATAAGTAATACCCATTAAGCGTCGCAAGGTCAGAGTAAACGTGAAGGACTCTCCTTATAAAATTCTTACGAATCGACGAATTAATTTGTCCGTCTGTCAACGAAAATTAATGCTAATGTTCTTGGTGATCCTATAAATTGAGACGGAGAGCAGTTTATATACGAGACATGTGAGAATTCTTAGGATAATAAGCTTATTCTAGTGTTCATAGTGTGTTCCGTGGAAGTCTCATGTTGTAATAGACCTCGCCGATTCCGCTTTCTGAATACGTGAATTTGCCGATTTATACACGTGTCCGTGAAATTAGTACGAAATTGTGAATATCAGTATATATATTTTCGGATCTTTGAAGACACGAATTTGTAATATTCTCTACTTTTACGGATCCGTAAATCTGGAAACTTTTCTCATTTTACAGATATACATACGTTCATTGATTCTTGCGAATAATTCGATCGTGTAAATTTTCCGATCGTATGG